CAGTACTCCAATGTTATGTATGTACATCCTCCTGATGTGATTATAGATTTTAGCGCCCTATGTTATGTTGAGCCGACGGGATCCTATGATAAGTTCAAGCTTTTGACCCTGTCTTCGGACCATATGATTATGTTATAAGCATATGTTTCTTTGGCTCTGATCCTTCTAAGTTTGCCTAAGGCCTAAAATTAATAAATGTAATTAAAAAAACTAAGTATGGCTTGAAATATATTTATTGCCTAAATTGTGGGGTGTTGACATGAAATTGATATTTAATGGTATGATAAGTTTAAAAATGCTTAAATATGATTTCCTATGAAAATATATTATTGAATAGCTCATGCCTCGTATCTGAGTATTTTTGGATAAAAGTGCGCATTAATATTAGGCCTAATATATAAATTTGCCTCCTAAATTTATATAATTTGTCTTGTGGCACCTTCAAGTTTGCAGGGAACTTATCATGACCCTATACTTTTGCATTTCAGTAGTAGATATGTCTCTCGCCAAAATGAAATAATTTTACAAGAATTCATCATGACCTTGCACTTTCACATTTTATTTTGATGAGAAATATAATTATTCTTTAAATGTTAAAGTATGAGATCATGATAGATCCCTGTAAAATTTGAGGATGCCACAAGTCAAATTGCGTAAATTTCATATGCAAATCTATACATTTGGCTATTAATATTACGAGTGGTGTTGAATATATGTATGAGCTGATTTCCTTGAATTGAATATGAGAATATTAATGTTTGATTATACTTGTGTGTGAATGTCCCTATTTTGGGGATATGAAGTACCACTAAGTTTTATATTTAGGGCGTTGACTTCTCATGCGCTAGTTGCTGTCAGTATTAGTTTCGAGATCGTAGTAGATATCAGTCAATAGAAGGCCAGTATTCTTTTAGATAGTCTTTATGTTGTTTGAAGAGTTCTTTTCTTTTATTCCGTCTAGCAGAGCATGTAAATGTAATTAAGAACCCTAAAGTATCTTTTTTATATGATGAGATTTTTCATTAAGTATGTTGAACCACAATTTTATGTGTATAATAGGATTGACTTGAGAATTATTGGCATGTACTGGTATATTAAGTATACTTTAAGTTTTAGAAATGAATATGACTTTGAATATTTTAGCGACCTTTGACGAGACTATGGTTTCGATTACTGAGTATTGATGAGAATTGAGCATATTAGAGTTTACATGAGCTGTTTGAATTATTGGGAGTGTTTTTAATAGAAAATTTTTTTAAATCATTTTGGAGTGAGAGTAATATGTAATGTTGTAATAAATGATTGTATGTTTAAGATTTAATTAAGCCTTATAGCTTGTTTAGTTTACACCTATTATCTAGTTCTATAGGATCGGATAATGGATAGGTTTGGAACTGAATCGCTCGTTTGCTGTCATAAGTTTTTAGAAGAGAAATAATAGTATAAGGAACGTGCATAGTTAAACAAAAGATTTTTCAATGCAATACCATTTAAAAGAAAATAAATATATTCACCAAAAAATAAATTAAAAGAAATCTTTATCCCTTCAAATGTTTTCCTCTCATCTATATATTTTTTACATACCATAAATTATAGATATAAATAATAATTTATTAATATTTAAGTTTGACTTCAAACTTATATTTAAAATTAATATTTATATCTATAAACATAAAGAAAAATATAAATTTATACATAAAGGTATGGTTTAAGTTGCAATTAAATCTTTATTTCGAGTTGATTTAATTAGATATTCCTATTTTTGAATATTTCCGAGATGCAAGACAATCAAATGTTTCAAATTCAATATGATTGGATCTAATTTAGCTAATAGTCCTATTTATTTTAATTGCTATCAAAACTTATCTTAGATGCTTTAATTTTAATAATTAAGTCAAAAAATTTAAAAATTTGAATTTTATATTTAAAATTGAAAATAAATTGTTAATTTTTAATAATGAATATAAAAATTAAATTTTAATAGCTATTTTAATAGCTGTTAATTATTTTAATAATTTTATAAAAAATTTTAATATTTTATAAAATGTTAACTCCGTAACTTTTTACGGAATATGATAAAAAAAATTAGCATTTAAGATCCGGACGGACGCGAGAAGCTACTTATACCGCAGTTATCAATTAAACCGCTTTTATCACGGCCTCAATTTGAATAGAGTTTCAAGTATCCAATATGTTTTGATTTGATAGGAGAAAATCACGTGTGGGTTTTTTTTTTTTTTTTTTTTTTTTTCACGGCCCTCAATTGATATAGGAGTTTCAAGTATTCCAATGATGTTTTTGATTTGATAGGAGAAAATCACGTGTGGGTTTTTTTTTTTTTTTTTTTTTTTTTTTTTTTTTTTTTTTTTTTTTTTTTTTTTATGAAAATGACAATTTATGTAGGTTTTGGCAGCTTATTAATTATTGGCATTTTTTTTTATTTAGTAGCGGTCTTGTCCAGTTATATGATTCCAAACGAAGACTCCAGTCCCGTCACCCGTGCCCCTACGGGCCAGACCAGACATGCTTTCTTGTGATGTTGCTCTTGGCTCTTGCTTTCACACCCTGTCAATAAAATCATTTAATAACCTAATGATTTAATGAAATTTGTATATTAAAATCTTTGTTTCTAAAAATTACTTAATTTAGAGAGGATAATAATTTGATTCAATTTCATTTTGATTTTTTAACACAGACAGTTAATGTTTGATTTTGATACATGAAACCCAAAAAATAACTCCAAAATTGTTAAAAATAGCTAAAAACCAAACTAACCCAATTTGATTTTGTATTTATTCATTTCAAATTGATTTTTATTTAAAAATTTCAGTTTATTTAATTTGCTCAATCTCGATTTTATTAATTATAGTAATGATCATTCTTTAATAATTAGCTTTAAAATAAATATTTCCGGATTATAAAGTTTAATCCAAGCTGAGAGTGTTTTATGTAATTGTAGTTCTAAAAGCAACCTCTTATCTGTTATTTTCTATTATTATCTCACTTTGTTCCTTTGGTCTAAATTAGGGCATTCCAAGTGAACTGCTATAATCGGCCGTGAGGCTTAAAAAAAAAAAAAAAAAAAAAAAAAAGAGGCTTTATAAAAAAAAAAAAAAAAAAAAGAAAATTCCTTTTTTTTGATTTTATCATTGGAGGAGTTTAACTATGAGTCAATTTTGAACAACGTTGTGTTGAATTCCTGGTGTGGTCTGGTTGATCTTTTTATCTCTTTAAGAATATGAATTTATTTTCAGTTCATTGGATCTCCTATATATTCAAAAAAAAAAAAAATTTGAAGAGTGTTTATCTGATGCTAATTGGGTATATCGCGATTTTTTGAAAAATTTCTCTGGACTTTATTAAAAAAAAAAAAAAAAAAAAAGAAAATCCCTTTTTGATTTATCATTGGAGGAGTTTAACTATGAGTCAATTTTGAACAACGTTGTGTTAATCTGGTGTGGTCTGGTTGATCTTTTTATCTCTTTTAGAATATGAATATTATTTCAGTTCATTGGATCTCCTATATATTCAAAAAAAAAAAATTTGAAGAGTGTTATCTGATGCTAATTGGGTATATCCGATTTTTTTGAAAAATTTCTGGACTTTATTGGTTTAAGAAAAGAGATACTTGATATGATTCAAATTGCCAACAAAATACAAACATAAACAAAATAATTTGTGGAAAAAGAGTCGGGATGATAAGCAATAGTAGAATGGATTTGCAATTGGACCCCAAAGCATGAGAAAGAACAATGTCAATAAGAGTAAGTGAAAAGATATTTTGTACCTTCAAATACCCTTTATTTGACATTCTCAAAATTTTGTAATTAAATTGAAGTTGATTAACAGAAAATTATTAACAAAGGGATAAATTAGTCTAAGAGATATATAATCCACAGGCTATGTAATTGAATTTAAGAAAATCGAACTAGTGTTTCAGTGTAAGTGACTTTAATTGAGGAATGCTAGATAGTAATTCTTAAAAAATTTATATAAAAAAGAAGAATTGTGATTTGAATTCAACATCAAAATAAAAAATTTTCTTTATGCTGTGAGGTGATATCATATGAATTCATTTATTTGATTTAATTAAAAATATATAATTTTCGTCAAAATTTTCATTTATGATTGATCTCAAAAATGAAACCTTGATTAATAGTACAAATGCAAATTTTTCTATCAACTAAATGAGTTTAAAACGAGGTATTTTTTGGTAATTAGATTAAGCATGTGCATTTCAAAAGGTAATCATTTGATGGCTAACAGTAGAAACAATGTGCTTAGGAATAAAAGCGAGATGGAAGTGGAACAAGTATTTTAGATTTTAGATTACTCATTTCCGTTTAACGAAAATATGAATAATTATAAATAGATTTAAAATAGATACAACGTAGATACGTAAATCTTTTATACTTACTACTATTACGGTTATATTAAACGAGTTTGGTCATCGAGTACCCGTGACTGCTATTATTAGCATCTTATAATTGATTTTGGTCAAGGATAACCGACTACCTTCCATTTCCTTTGATTTTCATTAGCATCTTACTATCTTAGAGCCCCATTGACAATTTAGAGAACTATTATAGAAATCAATAATAAGGGTGACCCACATTCTGCCATCACTATGTACATTAGTGTTGGACCTTAGTAGTTTTAAGAAATCTTACATTTACATAGAGAATAGTGATCTATGGTCCAAGAAAATTTTCCATTAATGTGCACATCAAAATTGAAAAACTCTACGAGCGGCTCTCGGAGGAGATGCGGAAAACTAGGGAAAGAAAATATATTAGAAAAGGAAATGAGCTGAAAATAGATTTTTCTTTATTGGGAAACATGGAAAAATAAAGAGGTAGAGGAAAATAATTTGAAAATTTTCTTGTGGTCCCACAAAGTAGAGAAAGAAAATGGCACTGCATTATGATTTTGCCCCTTCATAATAATTCGAATTTCTTTTCTATTTTCTTTCCCTACCCAACTTCTTTCTAAGCATAGTGTGTGCGTGTGTGTGCGAGAGGGTTCTCTATTCCCCATGTAGTCAAAAAGCCACACTCACTCTCTCTGCTCCCGTTCACACTCTAGTCACTCTCTTACACTGTAATATATACACAGTGCTGCACTGGCCTACTAGGTGACTCTAGTCCCCAAATGTAAGTAAAACCCATTTACACGAAGCTGCTGTTTGTCAAGCTTTAAGTTTGAAGCCCCTCTTCATCTACTCTCTTTCTCTTCCTTTCTTCATTCGTCTTTGCTATGATGGTCTACGGATGGGTCTTGTTCTTGGGTTTGTCTCAGTTTCTTGTAATGCAGCTTCCTCTCATAATGGCAGGTTAGTGCATTTAATTTCTCGTTTTCTTTTTAAAGTATGTGTACCATTTAATTTATTTTTAATTCCTAATTTGAAGTTGGATTTTTATTGATTGTTTTCTCCACTATGGTTCTTGTTAGTATTTTGGGCTAAACTAAGATTCTGCAAATGGGATTTGGTTGTTGGCTTTAATTTTTTGGGCTACTGTTGATTGTGTCGATTTTTATGGCTTTGCTTTGATTTTAATGAGCATTTTTAATGTGTATGATTCTATGGCTATTGTGAATTCTTGACCTGTTCATTTTTCTAGTTTTGGTTTTGTGAGTTACTGGGTCGTGTTATATTAGTAGCTATTAATTTGAACTCACTGTTAATCAAATTAATTCTTGTCTACATTTTTGGGTTTGATGTTATGGTTATTTAGGAGTTGCCTTTGCCGAAACTTTATGGCAAGTATTCCGCAGTTTGGTTTCTGTAGTATATTATGCATGTTTTTCTTGTATTTTGGTGAATGGGGAGGTGATTGTTATCTCCCGTTTGACTTTGATATTATTCTCTCTTGTTCATTAGTACGAACTTTGAGCGATTTAAAAGAAAACATGTTTTCTTGCTTGATTGTTCTGTTTGGATTAATGAGTATATATTTCACAATTTGATACTAACCCCTCCGTTTGGTGTAAATGAATTTGAAGAATTTATTGATAAATGATAAAATGTGGTTAGTTATGTTGAGTTTTGTAAAACTGGATTCATGGGAGTGAAATGAACATAGCCTTCCATACCAAAACGGAAACATAAATTTGAAACCAAACAGGGCCTAAACATTGCTGGTAGGTTGATATGCGCAAATCTTGCCAAGTTTTTGTCCTCATTAATACATATCGAATCAAAAAGGGGCTAGTAAATTCAATTAACAGTACAAGGTTCCAACTGAAGATGATGGTCTAGGCAGTTGCATTTTGAGTGTTGGCAAGTTGTTAAATTGCAACTAAGTCTTTAGAAATTTGCATTTTGCCGATGACATTGTTTGGAAATGGGTAGCATCCACTCAACTGGCGTGCCTTCTGGCATCATCAATCATCAAAGTAGGCTATTCACAGCAATTGCACCACCACTTTCTTCTATCTTGTAGCCCCTAACGGAGTTTGTAATTGGAAATTTTCATTACACTCCTCATGATGTTCTCCAATATGTGTTTCTTATATGCACATGATTGTTTTTGCAGAGTAAATTTGAGATCAAAATGTAGAAAAAAGTTCCTTTTCAGTTGACTAGTCTCTTTAAGTATCATGCTAAATCCCTCTACTGAAGTATTCCCTGCTTAATTAGGACATGGACTCCCAAGTGTTAAACCAAAAAAAAAGAAAAAAAAAACCTCTAGAACATGGTTGTTGTGGTTCAGTACACATATTTTTTATGTTGCGTGCTAGCAAAAATGTCAAAAGTGTGTGCAACACTCATGATGGATCTAAACTGAGAGAGAGGGGAACTGAAAAAGTTTGACTTGTAGGATTTTACGATAAATTGCTTGCTTTCCTGTTCTTTTTTCAAATGATAGTTGAGGACTTCAAATGCTGTATATTTTTTTATTGCACCATCAGAATGCCATAGGAGTTCATTAGCATCAAAGTTTGAAAATCGAAAATTTCCAATTGCAGCATTTCTGTCAATAAATTGCTTGCCTGTCCTTTCTAAAGGCTGTTTCAGGAAATGTTGTGTATTGTGTATTTTCTTACAATTGCACCAAGTAACCTCATTAAAGTTGCTTTTTTACCATCAACTGGAAAAAAATATCTATTTTACAAGTTGGGAATATAAAGTTAAAGTTTTTAGACAGGAGTTCTAAAACAAATAATTGACTAGTTAATGATAGCTTCTATTACTTTGCAGATTGCCCCTTGGATTTGACTGGATCAAACTTTACCTTAGCAGCTTCTTTATGCTCCAGCAAAGATGATAGAGGAAAGTGTTGCCGCTATATAAATGCTTTCATTGCAGTTTCTATTGCACGCTATGCAAATGTAACTAGCAACCTAGGGGTTACTTCAAATTTCTCTGATATCTGCCTCCAGTCCATTTTACAAACAATGGAACTATATGGTATTCCAAGAAATGCAACAGCCTTTTGTGGGTTTGGCACAAAAATTCCAGTTAATTATGAGTGTAATGGTCGAACAACTGTTACTCAGATGCTGGAATCTCCAAAGTTTGTGGATGTTTTGCAAAATTGCAAAGTGCCCCTTTCAGCAGAAAGCAGTTGCAGGAAGTGTTTAAATGCTGGAATTGTATACCTTCATCATCTGGTGGGAATCAATGACAATATAACATTAAGTACTTGCCGTGATGCAACTTTTGCGGCACTTGCAAGCCAAGTTGATGATGCTTCAGCTGTCAATATTGCAAGCTGTTTCTTTGGAGTTCAAGGGCTTAATGTTCCTCCAGGTATGACTAGTTTGTGGTTCCTTGTGACTTGTCTATAGCTTGCAATAAAGAATTTACTGGAACTCTATCTTAAATGGATTTCTTGTTTTATATTTCTGTATTCAATCATTAAACTGTCATTTTGTGTATGAAGCTAATATTTCAGAGCCATCTCCATCTGGAATCAGTCCTGAGGCTTCTCCAAGTCCATTGGTTGCTGCTAGTCCGAGCCAACTTATGTTGGGAGTAACCTTAAATGAGAGTCACCATCCCTACCACCTGACTCTAATTCCAGGCATTGGAGTTGCAGTTACAGTTGTTGCTGTTATGATGCTTATAGTACTGATGGTTCTTATCCGGAGGAAACGCAAAGAACTAGAGGAATCTGAGAATATAGACGGGACTTCTTCAAAAGCTTTCCCTCCTTCTCGGACTATGCGAAAATTTCAAGAAGGTATTACTCTAGGCTTTATGGCTTGTGCTTTCTTAATGCTAGCATGTAACGAGCTTTCTTATGTTCATTTATGTGTTACTTTTTGGTGTTTGTCATGTAGGAGTAGGACCTACATCAATGTTCCGAAAATTCAGCTATAAGGAGACAAAGAAGGCGACAGATAACTTCAACACAATCATTGGACAGGGAGGATTTGGAACCGTGTACAAAGCTGAATTTAGCGATGGCTTGGTGGCAGCAGTAAAGCGGATGAACAAAGTTTCCAAGCAGGGGGAAGATGATTTCTGCAGAGAAATAGAACTTCTTGCCCGACTGCATCATCGTCACCTTGTTGCTTTAAGAGGCTTTTGCATAAAAAAACATGAGAGGTAGCTTATCTTTCTGTGTAATTATGGCTAGAGACATCATGAAAAATAAATAAACTAACCGAATGGGCTGCTTTCTCATTCTAGACTGTTAAGTTATTTATATGCTTACCTTAATATAAGTGCATGCTTCCTTGTTTTCAGCATTAGTGCAACCCGGATGATTTCAATACCTATCCTCTTTCTAACAGTTTATATCAATAGATAATATGAGTGGTTTCAGTTAATGTACTAATGCGTGCATGCACATGCATTGCATTATTTTTGTACGAGTCCAGTAACTTCGAAAAGGAACATTTTGATATTTTACCAGTTTTTGCAAAATATTAATCATGTCCTTTAGATGGTTTGTTATTGAAGTGCAGGAAGTCAAATAGTTTTGCTTGTTTATGATGGCAGATTTCTGATGTACGAGTATATGGCAAATGGAAGCTTAAAGGATCATCTTCATTGTATGTTTCCTGATTTCTTCAGTTCACTTTTTTCTGTCACTATACCTGGAAATCAAATAGTGGCTCTCCTTGTCGCTCCCTCTCTCTGTCCTGCACTCGGACAATTTGTGCTGTCATTTGATACAAAAAGACTTTTCTCTTCATGATAGATCCATGAGTTCAAATGTTATGGAAGTCATTATTGAAATAACTTATGTTGGGAAACGAATCTCACATTGAAATAATATTAAATAATTAAAATATTTATGAGTTAATTTTAGACCTAGAACAAGCCGATTAGTTTCGTGCAAGATGGTTCCAACACCGTCCCATTTATAAAACTGAGTTGTTTGGACCTGAAACTTTTAATAACCTGTTTCTTATAGTTTTGAGGAGCTCTATTGTTTGACAGCTTTCCATTCTGATTAAGGATCTTTTTTTTCATCTTTTTTCCTGTGCAGCACCCGGAAAGACTCCTTTGAGTTGGCGGACAAGAATTCAGATTGCCATTGATGTGGCTAATGCTCTGGTAGTTAGCAAATATATACTCTTGTTGGGACTAATTTGTATATTGTCAGAATTCTTATTCATTGACTCTGAATTTTTTCGTGCTGTTTTATTGCTCTCACATGCAGGAGTACCTCCACTTCTATTGTGATCCACCTTTGTGCCACAGAGACATCAAGTCGAGCAACATTTTACTGGATGAGAACTTTGTTGCTAAGGTAGTGTACCAGTGGGGTGCACATGCGGCTTTTTTTTTTCTTTTTTTTTTTTCACCTCTGAAATTATATTTCTGAAATACTCAATATGGATGAAAATAATCTTTTTCTGCAAACTCTGGTTTATTCTCAACCTTTTGGAATATATTGAGATTTTAACTGGATTTTCTTGCCATGAAAGCTTCATCAACATCTCATATCAACTATCTTTCAACTTACTTTTTCCTTCTGGCCATATTGTCTTTCAGGTTGCAGATTTTGGCCTTGCACATGCATCGAAGGATGGCTCTATTTCCTTTGAACCGGTAAATACCGATATCCGAGGAACTCCAGGTAAGACGATAAATTTGACCCTCCTGCATCAGATGTTCCATTCATTAAGCTAAGAGTTCTAATTGTATGGTGCCATTCAGGTTACATGGATCCTGAGTATGTGGTCACTCAAGAGCTCACGGAGAAAAGTGATGTGTATAGTTATGGTGTTGTACTTTTGGAGATAGTAACTGGAAGACGGGCAATACAAGACAACATGAATTTATTGGAATGGTCTCAAATGTTCATGGCTTCAGAATTAAGACTACATGAGTTAGTGGACCCAAGCATCCAGAATTCCTTTGACTTGGACCAGCTTCAAACAATTGCCTCTATTGTGAGATGGTGCACACAGAGGGAAGGAAGGGCTAGACCTTCAATCAAACAGGTCCTTAGGCTTTTATATGAGAGCTCAGACCCGATACATAGTGGGCTTTTACAAGCTGTGGAAGATGAAGAGTATGAGGGAAGTGAAGGTCGAGGAAGAAGAAGTAAAGGGAAAATGCACAGAAGTGATGCAGTTTTTTACAGTGGCGATGGAAGATGCCTTGCTTCTTCTTCAAGTACATCAAGGTCATATTGCAGCAGAAGCTTTTTACTTGAAACTGGCTCCCCACAATCTCCTTCCAATATACTTTCCCTCTGAGGCGGATCATTTTTTTTCTCTCCAAGCCTTTGACTGACACTTGTGATTTACCGGAAAGCTATAGCGCCTTGATTGAATTGTCGTTGAGACACATTTTTAGCAAGGTTTATCTCAGGTTGACAGGTATGCGCAGTTTGTCACCTTTATTCAAGTATTGAAAACTTCAATTCATAGAGTATATGCCAATGACTTCAAAATCAATTATGGGTTGGATGGTGGGGAAAGTGTAAAAGTACTCATTTTAAATCCATAGTTTTGTTCTATGCCATCTTAAAAATTTTGGAATCACAAGGCATAAGTATAAAATTTTTCTTTTAAATCATGTATTGACAAATTTTGACATAGCAATTATGTAGTCATTAGCATTGGTTTTTCAGATTCATGTATCATTTATGTAACTCAAGAGGTGTTTTGATACAATATATTAAATTCTCACTTCTAAACAAACAAAAATGGATGCCTCATTTTATATATGGAGATTTGGACAGCATAGACGGCTGAAAAGATCCATGGACAGCCGAGAATATCAAGTCCGGCTGGCCTGAAGAAAAACCAGAGTAAGCAAAAACAGCAGCCTCGGATTGACAAATTATTCGATGGTTAAAAACTATGCTAATTTGTATGTATAATGCAGATACTGCATTGCATTCCAGCATAGTAAATATCAAAGCTTTTATTCAGATCAAAATTGCTATTTTTTAGATAACTTCTAGCCATTGACAGGTGATTTTGTACTTATTATTATTACTACTCAGAGATGCGCTTCTATTGTAATGGAATCCGGCGGATGATCACTGTTGCAGTTATATCATAATAGTTTGTATAGTCATGATACAATAGGTTAAATTTATTTTATTTTATTTCATTTTTTTGGGTATAACTATATATAGGTGCCTCACTTTGTTAGTGTTTATATTAGTGTTAAAACTTTTTTTTTTTTTTATCAATTAAGTGCATTTAATTGAATTATTTTGCAGGAAAATGAAGATGGATAATTCGTTAACAAATGGTATCAAACATAAAAATCCTTTGAATTCATGTTTTTTTTTTAAAAAAAATTTTTTGAAAATCATCAAATTATATTAACATTAAAAATATTAAGAAAAACTCAGAAAATTTAAGGTATCAAAGAACCAAGAGGCTCTTGTCGAGATGTACTAGCATAAAACAAAACTACCCTAGAAAATTTTTAAAATTTTTTTATTGTTCTTCTGTCCTTAAAAAAGTCCAAAATTCTTTTAAAATTTTCTTCTGTTCCAAAAAAAAAAAAAAAAAAAAATTTAAGGTATCAAAGAACAAGAGGCTCTTGTCGAGATGTATAGCATAAAACAGATAACATACAAACTACCCTAGAAAATTTTTAAAAAAATTTTTTTATTGTTCTTCTGTCCTTAAAAAAGTCCAAAATTCTTTTAAAAAAATTTTTCTTTTTTTTCTTTTGGGGGTTTTTTTTTTTTTCCCCCCCCCCCCCGCAAAAAAAAAAAAAAAAAAAAAAAAAAAAAAAAAAAGGAGAAAAAGGAAATAAGAAAAAAAATACTCCCTGGTCCCATAATTCTTGCTTTCTATTTTTATCCATTTCAAATTGTTGTCTTAAAATATCATTCTTCCTAATGTATAAACAAAATTAAAATATCAACCTTTAGTCTTCTAAAAAAAATTCTATTTAATCAAATATTTGATTACAGTTTAATTAATTTAAAGAAAATTTAATATGAATCATTTAATTTTAATGGGTATTAACATGAGTGTAAATTAGTAAACAAACAAAGCAAAAATTGTAGTTTAACTCTATTAAGTAAATTTTCTTAATTTATGTGCAAGTGAAAACAAATAGGGTAGCACATTCCTTGCTAAGCTTGCTCTTTCTCTAGGATTAGAAGAGCATATTTGGGTAGAGGAGATTCAGCTCTATTTCTCCTTCTGTCTTAGATGATGTGAACTCTTAAGTTAATGAAATTTGCGTTATTTTTCTTAAAAAAAAAAAAAAATTTATGGGATGGAGTATATATTAATCTAGAGAAATAAATAAAAAATACAGTAAATAGTTTTATTTTATTTTTTGGATAATAAATTCCAATCAAGTGTACTTGACAGGCAAGTATTATCCATAATGAACAAAATTGAGATACTAAATTTACAATCATCTTTCTTTCTTTCAATTTTTTTTTTTTTTTTTTTTTTTTTTTTTTTTTTTTTTTTTTTTTTTTTTTTTTTTTTTTTTTTTTTTGTTAATTGATTATCTAAACTATAGTTATAAACTAAAATTTAAGTTTTAAATATTTTTTTTTTTTTTTTTTTTTTTTTTTTTTTTTTTTTTTTTTGTTAATTGATTTCTAACTATAGTTATAACTATAAATTTAAGTTTTATATAAAAAAATTTTACTTGATTATATCGAACAAAGTTAAGTTCTTGGCTTGAAATACACAGTGTGTGTATATATTCTACCTTGGAATCTGAAGTTCTCATATCTAATATCCACTGACCTGCAAAATGGGTCAGTTTTCTCCTTCCAAATTTCTTCTTGCTATCTTCCTCCTCTTCTCAATTGCTAAATCACTGCCTACATCAACCAGTGGTAGGACTTACATAATCCACATGGACAAATCAGCAAAGCCAGCTTCTTTCTCTTCTCATCATGATTGGTATATTGCAACACTATCATCTTTGTCATCACCAGATGGTATCTCTCCTACCCATCTCTATTCTTATAACCATGTGATTGATGGCTTCAGTGCTGTACTGTCTGAAAGTCACCTTCACCAACTAGAAGAATTGCCTAGTCATGTTGCTACATTTCCAGAATCATTTGGTCATCTCCATACTACCCATACCCCAAAATTTCTCGGTCTGAACAAGCACACTGGACTATGGCCAGCAAGCAAGTTCGGTGATGATATCATAATTGGTGTTATTGATACTGGGATTTGGCCGGAAAGTGAGAGCTTCAATGATAAACACATGCCTCCAGTGCCAGAGCGCTGGCGAGGCATATGTGAAATTGGAGCTGAATTTAATGCTTCTCGTTGCAATAAAAAGCTGATCGGAGCACGAAAGTTTAGTCAAGGAATGAAACAGTATGGCCTGAATATATCAAACACAGATGACTATGATTCTCCCAGGGATTTCATGGGTCATGGAACTCACACATCTTCGACAGCAGCCGGTAGCCGGGTGCAACGTGCTGATTATTTCGGTTATGCACAAGGCACAGCAACTGGAATGGCACCAGCAGCAAGGATAGCTATGTATAAAGTACTGTTCTATAGAGCCGATAACGATGACTATGATGCTGCTGCAACTGATGTACTTGCAGGAATGGATCAAGCTATAGAAGATGGAGTAGATATCATGTCATTGTCTCTGGGATTCTTTGAAACGCCTTTCTTCAAGAATCCAATAGCCATAGGAGCATTTGCAGCATTAAGAAAAGGTATATTTGTTACATGTTCAGCTGGAAATGGGGGTCCTCATGGATACACAATGCTTAATGGAGCTCCTTGGCTGACAACAGTTGGTGCTGGAACTATTGACCGTGAGTTTGGAGCTCATATTACTCTTGGAAATGGAGATATGACCTTCACCGGACAATCCATATATCCGGAAAACTTGTTTGTATCTAGGATTCCTGTATATTTTGGATATGGAAATAGAAGCAAGGAAATCTGTGACTGGAACTCTTTAGATCCTAAAGATGTTGCAGGCAAGTTCATCTTCTGTGACCATGATAATGAAACATCATTGTTTCGTAAGACAACATCTGAAACAGACAGATACGGTCCAGACATTGCTGGAGCTGTTGGTGCTATCTTTAGTGAAGATGACGGAGAATTTGAACATCCTGACTACTTCTATCAACCAATTGTGTTAGTGAGCACAAAAGATGGAGACTTGATAAAGAAATATATACTCAACACAACAAATGCAACTGTTAGTGTTGAGTTTGGAAAAACATTGTTAGGCATTACTCCAGCTCCAAAAGTAGCGTACTTTTCTTCACGAGGGCCTGACGAAAGATCTCCATGGATTCTCAAACCTGATATATTAGCTCCTGGGTATCACATTTTAGCAGCATGGGTTCCTAACAGAGGCTTCGCACCCATTCGCGAAGATGATTATTTGCAAACAGATTATGCTCTTCTTTCAGGAACTTCAATGTCTTGCCCTCATGCGGCTGGTGTGGCTGCATTGCTCAAAGCTACACACCGCGACTGGAGCTCAGCTGCTATCCGATCAGCAATGATGACTACTGCATATGTTACCGACAATTCAAATGGTCGAATCATTGATATGACTACTGGAGTTGAAGGAACTCCTCTTGATTTTGGGGCAGGACATTTGAATCCTAATAAAGCTATGGATCCTGGACTAGTTTATGACATTCAATTGGAGGATTATATCAACTACTTGTGTGCATTGAACTACACAAGTCAGCAGATCAAAATTATATCCGGAACGCTGAATTTTACCTGCAAATATGCTAGTTTGGATCTTAATTATCCTTCTTTTATGGTTATACTAAACAAGACTAATACAACTACCTCTACATTCAAAAGGGTATTGCTGAATGTGGCGGATACTGCCTCCGTTTATAAGGCTGTAGTGGAAGTTCCGCCGGGCATGAAAGCTGTTGTGCAGCCAACAACAGTTAGCTTTATGGGAAAATATAGCAAAGCTGAGTTTAATCTGACTGTGGAAATTAACTTGGAAGTTGATAGTGTTGGACCAGAGAGTGATTATTCTGGGAATTATGGATTCTTGAGTTGGTATGAGGTTAATGGGACTCGTGTGGTTAGAAGTCCCATTGTCTCTGGAATTGCTTCAGCTAGGAACCCTTAAAACTTGAGTTATTTGCTTGAATTGCTCTGGTTTGGAAATTACAATCCTTTTGTTTGTTTCAGCCAAGAATATCATTATTGGACCAGATAATCAAGGCATTTCATGTTCAAGATTTGTGTTAATAAAAAAAAATAATATTAAATAATTCTTGATTGTCAAGCCATGTAAATTGACAATCTTTGGAGGAGAATGCTGCTGAATCATAAAAAAAACCCCCAAACTTTAAGGGTATTTTAATTGTAACTTAAATTCAACTTTATACTTCTTACTATCCTAAATTTCAATTTTAGTTACAATAACACCCTAATTTAAAATTATACCCGATATTAAAATAAAAAAATAATATGTTCATCTTAAAAATAAAATACTTTTTATTTATTTATTTATATGATATTGACAACAAGTAATGATTCACTAAAAATAAAATTATCCTATAATGAATAAAATATATTTTTATAAGAAATCTAATTAAGTATAATTTTAAACCATAACTAAAATTTCATGTATAAAAAATGGTAAAATAAAAACTTAAACTAATATTTTGTGTTTGTAAGTAACTAAAAATTATTATTTTACTTGACTTTTTATGAATTAAAAAAAAAACTCCTAACCAATATTAGTTAGGGTGTTGCTACATGTTGAGTTTTTTAGTTAACCTAACCATGTAGGTCCAAAGAAAATAATATTTTATTTCTTAAATTAGATACAATTTGAAATTATAGTGATATTATAACTAAAATTGAAGTTCAGAATACTAAAAAATTACATTTACAGTGCAATTAAAAATACTAGCAAAATTTAGAATTTTTTAATGGTTTAGCCGGAGAATGCCAAGTATAGAATGTTTAACCTAGTCCTTGTACTAAGTTGACACTTCACGCTAAGGGCGTGTTCGGTGGCAGCGTTTAGAGTAGCGTTTAATATTTTTAACTAGTCAAAACACTGTTTCTCTAAATTATTGTATTCGGTAACTTAATATATAGAGTAGCTTTTGAAGGTCTACAAAGTGTTTTCTAAAATGTTATCTTAACTAACGTTTAGCGTTTACTCTTTTTACTAAATTTTTTTTACTACCTTATCCTTAGTTAATATAAAATCCTTTTGTTATTCACATTACGTGTTTTATTATCTTTATGTTTGACTTATTTATATTTAAAAATAAAAAAAAAATTTATTTATATATTTGTATTTAAACTCAAATAAATATTAAAAATTAAAAATATTGATCCCCTAAAATATTAAAAATTTTCCATTTTATTTATAAAATATTTTGGGTATTTTAAACTCAAATAAATATTTTAAAAATTAAAAATATTGATCCCCTAAAAATATTAATCAAATAAATATTAAAAATTAAAAATATTGATCCCCTAAAATATTAAAAATTTTCCATTTTATTTATAAAATAGTGAACTTTTCAATTTTTTGCTCCTTTAAATTTTGAAAATTTAGGTATAATGAAATCATTTTTTTTATAATGAATTTAATTGAAAATTTTTGGTGAATATTTTAATGTCCTTTTTTGTCATTTTAAATTTATTGCCAATCAAACAGATATTTTTATCGAACATTTTCGCTGTTAACCACTATTTAAACAGCTAACAATTACTAGAATAGCTAGTATTGCGGAACATACTCTAAGTTATTAAAATAATAGGAGCTTATATTTTGTTGTATATAGCTATAAGCATAGACTATTTGACAAATAAATAATAAAAATGTTGCACTGAATTCGTGCACTTGGATTTTATGAATGTTGAAAATTTTCATTTTTGATAGTTAATTTTTTACTAAAAATAAAAATAAGTTTAATGGGAATTGAAATATTAGATGCTTAAAAATATTTGAAACTAAAATTTTTACTTTTAAGTATTTAATTTTCTTATAAATTAACAAATTAAATATTTATTAAATCTAAATAATAGATTTTGTCAAATTTATTGCAAGAATTTAAATTAACAAATTCAAATGTAATATAAAATTGAAGCATATCATCATAAATTGATGGGTTGAACCAATTTCTTAAAAAATAGTTCAAAAGTTATAATGAACTGAATTATATGATCTGGTTTAATTTAATCTAGTTTAACGATGTAAATCATTAATATTTGCATTTATAAATTTAATTTTTAATATTTCCTCCATTCTATAATTCTTGACTTACTCTCATTTTTCATCCAACCCAAATTCTTTATTTTTTATTCATTAGCAGACTCGATAAGCTAAAATAACACTGCAAACTACACAATAGAAATAACTTTTCCCTAGATCACCAAATTGGTGAAAATACTTGTGGTCAAGAGGACTTGAACTCAAGACCTCTCACTCCTCACACAAATGAGAAGACTATTACAAATTATTGTTAATGAATATAATAGTCAAAGTTCTATATTATTATTAATCAAACTTTGATAGTATAAATAAAATTAAAATATCAAACTTTAGTTACTCTTCAAAAAAAACTCTTTTTAATCAAATATGTGATTATATTTTGATTAATTTCAATAAAATTTAATATGGATAATTTAAATTTAGTGACTATTAACATAAGGGTATATTAAAAAAAACAAAATTTTAACTATATTAACTAATTTTTTTTATTTGTGTGCAAATCAAACTAGAATAAAAATTATAAGCCGAAGGAAATATTTATTTCACTTTATCATTATTCATGGAGCGAGCACTAAGATTTAGTGATGCATGGACACATTGAAATTAGTCTGGCTCGATACGTCAACTCGGAGAATTGGTGAACCCGATTCAACATTGAACCAATTTTTAAAGAAGAGAGCTGGGTTGAACCAGCTAACCTATTGTTTAACCGGATGATCCATATAGACATGGTTGATCAGACTGATTGTTTAATATTTAATTATTCTTTATTATATTATAATTATTTTAAATTATAATTATTGAATACATATATATTATTGATATTTTTATAAGCTACTAATTGAAGCATTGAACCGCTAATTAAACCAATAACCCATTCATATAATTCTTCAATCAGATGAATGTTCGAGCCGATTTTAATAACACTGCTTGCAGTGAATACTCATTGGCAAAAGCGCCAAAAATTGATCCCAATCAAGTCGGTTTAATTTAATTTGGTCTCATTTCGATTTACTTAAAAAATTGAAACTTATTGTTCCTTGATTCGCTTCTAAAAATCTGTTAAAACCAAAGTAACACCAGCCCATCCGACAAGATCAAATTGAACTGGAACGGTTCGTCTTATGCTGATCTTTTCAAATTTTCAAAACTGGTAGTAAGATTTTGTTCTGAATAATTTCAATTCAGTCTAATTTCTTAAAAAAAAAAAAAAAAAAAAAAAAAAAAGCTCGATCTTTTTTCCAAATTTTTCAAAAAGCTGGTAGTAACACGATTTTGTTCTTAGAATTTTAATTATTCAATCAGTCTAAATTTCTTCAAAAAAAAAAAAAAGAAAAAAAAAACAAAACATGGACTTTATTTTTAGCTAGGTAACTTCAAGTCGATATGAACTAAGTGCACAAACCCTTTTTTGCCATTACGTGAAAGTACGAAACCTCTTCTAAAACAACAAGAGAGGGAATTCAACCAGCATGAAGACAACTCAGAATAAAACACAACACACGAGTAGCCAGTTCTCAGAATTCCTCAAAGAAACACCCCAATACAAAAAAAAATAATTAAGAAGATTTAAGGACAAAGACAATACGGCTACCATAGGAGACACAGAAAATGGGAGTGGTAAACTCCCGCAACAAAACAAAAGTATTAACAAAATAATCCCAATTTTCAATAATCCTATTTACAAGATTAATAATTCAGTATAATCACTACAAACTGCGCAAGATGTGCCAGAGTACAAAGATGGAATGAAACTGAACCATTTTACAAGGCTAGGAAAGCAGCAGTGCTAGCGACGTTTAAAAAAAAAAAAAAAAAAAAAAAAAAAAACATGGACTTATTTAGCTAGGTAGATTCAAGTCGATATGACCTAATGCAACCCTTTTTGCCATAGGTGAAAGTGAAACTCTTCTAAAACAACAAGAAGAGGATTCACAGCATAAGACAACTCAGAATAAAAAACAACAGAGGCCATTTCCAGAACTCCTCAAAGAAACACCCCAATACAAAAAAAATAAAGAAGATTTAAGAAAAGACAAACGGCACAAGGAGACAAAGAAAATGGAGCTTGTAACTCCCAACAAACAAAAGTATTAACAAATAATCCAAGTTTTAATAATCCTATACAAGATTAATAATTCAGTATAATCACTCAAACTGGCAAGATTGCAGAGTACAAAGATGGAATGAAACTTGAACCATCAAGGCTAGAAAGCAGCAGTGCTAGACGTTAAACATTAGTAGGTTTGATTAGTTACAATGACGAGGCACAGAGGCATACATGGGAATTTCAAAATTAACATTCAAATCCATGCAGGACACATATTTTATAAAACAACAAATGTGATCCAGCCTCTCCTACCACTTATAAAACAAAGGGGAAGGAATTATGAAGAAAGATGTATGAGAGAGTCTTGAATATGCATGTAAAAAACATTCCAAGATAGATTGCTCCTTACTGTTTCCAACTCTAACCACCAACTGCAGCCAGGAACTTTCTCTTGCTTACTGGTTCTTCATGTAAGACAACAACATCACTCGCCTTATTAAAAAGCTCTTCCAGCTCATCCACACCAAACCTTTGACAGTCCAGTGGTTTCTTGTATCGTTGCTGATATATCTCCTCAAAACAACCCAAGAAAATCCGACAAGAATAACTGACTAGAATTTCCTGTAACTCATGTTTGAATTGCTCAAGATTTTGGTCAAAATCCTCACATCTGGCTGTTGTACCAGTACTAATCTTACCGTTGTTTGTCCTCTCCTCGAGTTCTTCAACTACCACCCTTTCCTCATCTGAGAACTCATCTGAAGAGCCGCATCCCGTCATAATACCCAAATTCTCCTCTTGAGTCCCTTTTCCTTTCCCATCTTTCCTCGCTAGAACTAAAGGAGGTGCACTAGGGCTTGCTTTCCAATTTCGAAGGTAGACAAACTTCTTTTGGCCCTTGCCATCTATTGCCAATGCATCATTCATTTTCTTGAAAAGATTTACTAGCTTGAATGCCCCATACTCTGAAACATAAAGAGGCCGTCCATAGAGCTTCTGATACTCGGCAGGAACACGGGTAAGTGGCAAACATCCTCCTGATAGTTCGAGCAATTTAACTAGCTGCACCTTCAGACCGTTTATGTCACCAGGCTGTACCCACATAGTTGAATGATATTGGTCATCATAGAAAACAGGACCAGTTGATACCTCATTCAAACCAGATGGCAGACTCTGTGATCTCATACTTGTAGGGAAACAAGGCATGGCTATTGATGAACTACAGTTGTATTCGGACAAAGACTGTGACACTACTGAAAAATCTCTTGAGTTGTAATAGCTTTGTGAGAGTCCTCTATATACAATTGCCTCCTCTTCATTTTGGCCATCAAAATTGTCATTTATATGGCACCCCATGAGATACCCAGCAATGTCAGGTGGTCCTGCATATGGAGGCCTCAAACCCTTTGAGGGGGGTACAAAGCCTTCCCCACGAGCCACACTAGGCCAATCCCAAACGAACTTACCAGCATTGCACAAAGCAGATGAGACACCTACCCCAGAAGGGATAACCAGGATCACAGTATATCCACGTTGTCCAAGAATGTGGAGAGCTGGAGCAAAATCAACATCTCCAGATATAAGCATGATGGAAGAAGGTGGTGGGTGGTCGAGGGCAAAGAGGAACATGTCAACTAAAATAGCCTTGTCAGCAGCATCTTTTCTACCATTAGGGACATCGATGAGTTTAACACCGGTTCTTTGGCAGCCCTCTCTGACTCGCCTAGGGAAGGAATTAAAATCCCCATATGCAGAAAACATCATAACTGCACCTTTAATTACAGGATGTACCCGTAAAGCCATTCTAATATTGCCAGCAACATCTTCAGGGCGGACATCACTGGGTACAGGGCAGTTCTCAATGTCCCAGAGGATAGCCACAGGACCATCTAAAGAATTACGATTTTGCTGGTTTGGGGGAGGTTGAAATGTCTGCGTGTTTGTTTCTGCAGAATTTATTACTCTCTGCTCCGATATATCAGAGGGTACCAAAGATGTTGATGCATTTATACTAGCCATCACTTTTTATTTTCTTTAAAAAGTTAGAGATCCCTGTAGATGCTAACCAGAAAAACATGATTCAGAAAAATAGGATGAAACTCCTCATTTAACTTGAGAAAAAAAAAGAGCAAAAATTGAGAAGGCCGTGACATGCTAATATCCTCAGATTTCTCATTGCTAAACACATCGATTTATTTATGTTAGCAAGTGAACTAATTGGTAAGGAAACTGGAATTTATAAGTTAGCATGAGCCAAATTATACAAAAAGAATTTAACACCTGCTAGACCTGGACTAACAACACAGCAATGGCACCTAAATTCAGAAAATATAGTTCCATGGCTGATAATTAGTCTAGTTTTAGCATTCTAGGGTGCAAAGTCTAAAAACTACTGAATTGCATTTTGGTACAAGCTAAAGTCTGTCCGAGCTAAAGTTCAAATCCATCTCCAAAACTATGGCCTACATCAAAGAGCACAAAGAAAAAGACAAATCATATTATTCTAGTATATTAAACTAATAATTCCAATAAGTTCTTTCTCGTTTCTTTCATCATTCAAAGTTTGAATTACGTTGGGTCATCAAGACACATCCAAGTTACTTTTCTAGAGAAAGGCTGTGTCCCTCAATCTACAACTTTCAACACAACACAGAGCAACAAAGAAATTTAACAAGAAAACAATCTATCCCTCAAGAGAAGAATCAGGGGCAAAGAAAAAGTTTTATGAAAGTCTCGAACCAAAGAGATATTGGACAAACTTTGAGTGTGTTTTGCTACCAGATTGAGCATAATGGAATTTAACAGAATGAACATGAAATGAAACAACATATAGCAAATTCAATACATTACACTTCATTACAATATATCAAACATACTCTTTATCCATGACGAATAAAGACCCAAGGTGCACTAAGGCACAAAGAGTCCTGGAGCTTGAAACGCAATGCACATAGCCAGGTGACTGCCTACTGGATACAAGGTGCATATCTATATATATATATAGATAGATAGATAGATACACTTAGTTGAATAATAAAATATCAAATAGATACTAATTACACATTATCAAAAAATATGGAATTCAATATATATACTAACTAAACAAATATCAAAATAAGTGGCACATCACATCCCATTATATTTTAGTAACCACAGTTTAAGCATCAAAGACAAGTCAAAGCTCTGTTAAAAATTCTAAAACAACAGTTTGACATATATATAAAGAAAAGATGCAATATATAAGATTTTAGGTCAAGAATTTAAAATTGAATCAACAATCAAATCTTAAATCATATATAGTTCTTAAATCTAATCAACAATCAAGATTAACTAAGAAAGATAAATACCGGATCATCATTTCCACAAAATAGTTAGAACAATAAAGAAAAAGAATTTTAAAAATACAGGCACAGCTAAGCCTAAGGCTCCACTTCTAGGTCTGTATGGCCAGATTGGGCCTGCCTCAATGTACCTTAGACACAGACACTGCCCTGAGTGTGCCTCAGGCCTAGGTATGATTTAAGAACACTCCTCTTTTATCGCTTTTACAAGGCAGATTTATCACCTACATTCAATTCATCTAATTTCATTATTATGCATTCTGTAGCACATGGCTAATCATATTCTAGCAATCCACAAATCCACATACAATGTCCATGGTCACAATTATTCGAATAGTTCATGACAAATAGATGGTTCAAGTTGGAAACCAACTAAAAGAGACAAGAACAGGTTGTTGAATAATAACCAACAACCAATAAGACCATCTAAAATCAAGCAATATATAGTTGCTAAAGCTTGATACTCCTTATCATTCAACAAGAGGAAATAATTGAATAATATATTCTCATTAGGACCTTCACAAACATCAAAGTAAGCAATAAAACACAATTTGACCCGATGCTTCTGTTAATGACAGCTTCAATTGGTGCAACTGTCAGCTAGCATCTAAAAAGTTCACTGAACTTATTAAGACACTTAAATCTTGCCAATCTTCCTTCAAGTTCTCTTGGACAATTTTGATACACTCAAACTGTCTCAAATTCCATATACTTAAAAACCATTTCAAATTCAATCTTGAGGGATTTAACCAGTAGTAAAGAAGAAAATACACAATTAAAAAAGATAAAAATAACAAAGAACTACAAATCTCAATCAACTCTAAAGCAATATCTACCATATGAAATTGAAACAAACATGCATTAGCCAAAAAATAATTTCGAAATAAAAACTCAAAATAGTAAACTTCAAACACTTTAGAAAGCTTTAAAATCTAAACCACCAAATCATTCACAGTAATCAAAACAAACCCACTAAAGAATAAAAAATTCCCATTTCGATTAACAGAAATCAAAATAAAAACAAGCAAAAAAAAAATACGTACCTTAAACAACGGCTAGAAGCTTTTAAGAAGGAATAAGCATCGCATCCAATCCAATCCAATCCAGATACAAAGCGCAGAAGATCAGTTATGGTTAATCAGAAGAGAGACGGAAGGAATTTTGGTCTTCGGGTTTTCCTTTTTTTCTTCTTCTATGTCTTTTTAGTTTGGGGGTTTTTTTTTTTTTTTATGTGGCAAAAACTGGGATTTTGAGCAAACCAAGAAAATGGAAAACACAGTTTTTAGTTTAAAGTGTGAAAGACAGGACTTTGCTTTCTACATTTGGGCTTATCTAATGTTTTTTCAGCCCATAAATTAACCGACAGTGATTCTATGTATGTCATTGTTTCTACAAGTTCAGATTACGAGTCCATTTTGAGAAGCAGGTGAAAATTGGATGTTTTAAGTAAATTTAACATTTTTACTGCGGCTGAGGAGATTAGATTATATTAAAAAAAAACTAGCAATATATATCGGTACGATGCACAGTAAAAAAAAAGTAAAATAAAGTAACATTAAGAGAATATATATACTTCTATGTCTTTTTAGTTTGGGGGTTTTCTGTTTTTTTTTTACTGTGGCAAAACTCTGGGATATTTTGAGCAAAACCAAGAAAATGGAAAAAACACAGTTTTAGTTTAAAGTGTAGAAAGGGGACAGGGACTTTGCTTCTAACCATTGGGGCTTATCTAATTTTTTTCAGCCCATTAAATTAACGGACCAGTGATTTCTATGTATGTTCATTGTTTCTACAAGTTTCAGATTACGAGTCCACTATTGAGAAGCAGGTGAAGGAATTTGGGATGTTTTAAGTAAAATTAAACATTTTACTGCGGCCTGAGGGAGATTTTAGATTATATTAAAAAAAAAAAACAAACTAGCATCATATTATCGTACGATGCACAGTAAAAAAAAAGTTTTAAATATAAGAGTAAACATTAAGAGAGCACCTATATATATACCCTAAATTATATATTATTATATACTAATATATTATATTAAACTCTTAAAAAAAAAAGTTTGCTTAAAAGATTACGATTGAATTGGTGGAATTTACGATAATGTATAAATTTAATTCTCATTAGTTGAGGAAAATATATAGTCTGCCTCTCTCTCGATCTCAATTCCATATGGTTCTCCCTCACGGGCCGGAATGAGAATATATTAAACTCTTAAAAAAAAGTTTGCTTAAAAGATAGATTGAATTGGTGGAATTTATATTTGTTAAATTAATTCATTTAGTTGAGAAAATATATAGTCTGCAATTCATATAATTGATAAATTCCATCATGGTCTCAATTTCACGGGAATGAGAGAAATCTCACTTTGAAGATGTGATTTTTCAATTTTATTTTTTTATTAATAATATAATTTAAACCACTTAACTTTATTTAAAAATATTTTGCAAAATACATGAATTTTACTTTTCAACCAAACCATGGAATATGAAATTTCAATGCTAGGATCAAAACATTCACTTTGATAATATTTATAGTAGCTTCTATCATATGGTAAAAAACAAAAATAACTTATTGTAGAATGTATGTTGGCTCAAAGGTCTTACAACCCTTTATTTTGAAAAACCACAAAATAATAAATTGTTTGATTTAAATGGATTTTGTATTAAGTCTTTGCGAGAATTTTATATCTGACAAGATCATACATTGAAGATTCAAATTAATCCTACTATTGACAATCAAGGATAAAGACACACTTGAAGAATTAGAGAATAAAATGCTTAATGTCTTAATTATTTTTAGGGTTAATAGCTAATTGCGAATATAGAAAGAAATGATATGCATAATTAAGTGTATATAAAATATATCTTTCTTTTAGTTTTTCAAAGTAGTAATCAGAAGATTTTTTATTAAAATATTATTTGAAAAACTTAGAGGAAAAAATTATTTCACAAACCCTATCTTTTCAAATCTTAGAATATGTAGTTGCTATCTAAAAAGATTTTGAGGGAAATTAAAATTTTGTATTGGGCTCTTCAATGACTTGACCCGTTGCCTAAATTATGCTATCTAAGCCCAAATCTCTCTTTCCTCTTTTTCTAAAGCGTGTTGCCAACTTTTCCCTCTTCCTCTTTTCTTTCTAATACAATTTGGCTTGGTAGAATTCACAAGGTATGAGAGATAATATTTGCTTTTGAATTTCATATTTCAAACTCTTTCATCTTGGCTCTTTTTCTTCTTAATTTCTAAGAGGATAAATAATCAATTCTATAGAGAGATTTTTAAAAATAAATTTGATTTCGCCTTTAAAAAAATTTGTCTCCTAAGCTTAAATAAAGCATATTTGTCAATCTATTATAGGTTTTGTAATCTATAATAGATTTAGGGTTTTAAATCTCAAAATCTTAAAAGTAAAAGCTCTGTGTGAAGATTTTATTACAAGGATTTCAGACACCCATCTTGTATAAGATTAAAACTTTTAAATTTTATTTTCTTTTATTTTTTTGCAAAAATAAGTCAAGTTTTTCTAGTTCTTTATAAAAACTAGTGGGTATAAGTTTACAAGTTCTTTGCTAATTCTAAGTGATAAGATTATTTTCATTGAAAATCATATTGCTTCTGCTGGTATTTGAAAAGTCAAAAATTTTATGAAACTCAAATGAACCCCAGTCGGTGTTACCTATCAGGACCTACAATGTATAATATCTTGTCATATTGTAATATTGGTTTACTTTTTTATAATAAAAACACTTTAAAATTTATCATAAATTTTATTTTTTATTATTTTACATTGAATCAAACGGTTCATATTTTGAATTATTAGAGATCAACAATGCTTGTTAGAGTTTGAATAGAATGCCTTGAGATTGAAAAAGTCTTAAATAAACCTAGTAGTTTGGATTTCTCTAATGGCGGAGGGAGGGGTGACAATCGCCTCTCTAGTTCCAATTTTTTTTTATTTAGCTTGTAAAAATTTTTGAACTTTTTTTTTCCCCTAAACTTGATTCATGGATCCACCATTAGTTTTCTCCTCACTTTAAAGTTTCAAGCAAGCTTATTTTTATGCCATGTATTTCCCTTAAGTCTCCACCTTATTGTAAGAGATTAAATATTATGATTAAGCCTAAACATGATTACTATGTTTTGATTTTTTTTTTATACGAGAATAGTTTGGTTAGTTCTAAGTCTCCCATTATCATTACATCTTAAGGAAGGAAGCTTCGGTAGAATAAGACATTACAATGAAAGGCAAGTTCTATAGAACGATGACGACGCTTGTAATGTTATACAGGAGTGAACATTGGGCTCCATATGCTCAACATTGGCTCAAGGTTTACACCTGTCTGTTGATGAGTAACAAAATACTAATAAATTGAATTTGTTATTATGTATACTTGCACTAAGTCTATATGAAAGAATGGCTTAGATATTTTTAGGATTAATTATTCAATGTTAAAATAGGAAGAAATATTATATCATTTTAAGCTACATCTAAAAATGTCTTTCTTTTAGTTTTTCAAAGATGACACTTCAAAGATTTTCTCTAATTAAAAAAATTGCTTTAAAAAACTTAAAATGAAAAATATTTCACAAACTCTACTTTTCAAAATTTAAATATTTGTGTTTGTGATATAAAAAGATTTTTAATGGGAAATGAAATTTCAAATCACTTAGGCTTTTCCTTTATTCTTTTACCCATTTACCTATTTAAAAGCCCAAAGCCACCTTTTTCTGTTCTATCCTGCCAATCAAATTTCATTTTTCTTCTCTCTTCCTTTCTAACATAACCTACTTCTATCTCATGGGAAGAAAAATTGCTTTTGTGTATAAAACATGACTTGAAAAAATTCTACAATCATGAGAAAAAAATTGTTCAAAATCTCTCATCTCTCTTCTTCTTACTTTCATGATTATTTTATAAAAAGAAGAGAAAAATTGATTTTTATGAGAAATTATTTGCTCTTAAATTTTCAAAATACAAATTCTCTCACCTGTCTTTTTCTTCTTGCTTCATTGCATAATTTGTAAGAGAAGAACATATTCTATTGAGAGAGAGAGAGAGAGAGAGAGAGAGAGAGAGAGAGAGAACTTTGAAAAATTCTAAACTCTATGAGAAAAAAAAAAATTGCTTCCCAAAATCTCTCATCTTCTCTTCTTCTTACTTTCATGGGCATTATTTTTATAAACTAAGGAAGAGAAAAATTTGATTTTTTAATGAGAAATTATGTTGCTTCTAAAATTTTCCAAAATACAAATCCTTCACCCTGTCTTTTTCTCTTGCTTTCAGTTGCATAATTTGTAAGAGAAGGGAAACATTAATTCTTTATTGAAGAGAGAGAGAGAGAGATAGAGAAGAGAGAGAGAGGGATGGAGGGAGAGAGATGACCGACAGAGAGAAGCAGAGAGAGAAAGAGAGAGGAGAAGAGAAGGATTTTCTTATAAATCAACACTGATCTTCATCTATTAAAGAGAGAGAGAGAGAGAGAGAGAGAGAGAGAGAGAGAGATTTTCTAAATCAAACTGATTTCATCTTTAAAATTTTTTTTCCTAAGCCTAACTATGGTTTAGCTTTCTATCTATTATAGGTTTTGTAATATAGAATAGATATGAATTCTTAAATCTCAAATTTGTGAGTGAAATCTTTGTATAAATTTTTTTTATAAGGATTTTCAAGCACCCATCTTGTGTGAGAGTAAGTCTTGTGGGTTTGCTAATTCTTTGAAAAAGCTAGTTAAGTTTTCTACTTCTTTAGAAAAACTAAAATTTAAGTGTTCTAATTCTTTGCCAAAAATTAAAGGTTAAATTTGCTTGTTCTTTGCAAAAACAAATTAAGTTTCCTATTTCTTTAAAAAAACTAGAGGTTTAAGTTTTCTAGTTTTTTTGTAAAAAAACTAGAAGTTAAGTTCATAAGTTTTTCTACAAAAAAAATTGCGGGTTATGGTTAGTTCTAAGTGATAGGACTATTTCTATTATAATAGGCTTTACTCTTATCCTTAAAAAGAGGATTAGTCAAGAATCTCAAGATAAATTCTTGAGGAGTGGACGTAGATGAGTTAAGTGTCGAACCACTATAAATCCTTTGTATTAATTTCTCCTCTTTTCTTTCTCTTTATGACTTTGCTTGAAATTACTCACTCATACACACATTTTGTGTTGATATGCTAGAATATTGGTTAATCAATTAATTTATGTTCTTATATTTTGCATCTTTGTGATTGAAATTGCTTTGGACAAATTTATTTTGAGCAGAGTTGCTTCGTTTCAGTGAATTGGAATCAGAAGAATTTTCAAACTTGATGATTGATTA